GAAGAAGCTTGCAGTGTTTAATTGTACTATATTCACGCAGAGATAATTGTGATGAGAAAATAAAATACAAAGAGAAATATGTTTTATTTTTTGTTAATTTGTAATATTTATATAATTATATATACATACATAGGAATATAACAAAATTAAAACTCCTTAAGTCATTACTCATTACTCATTAGATACAATAATTTTCACATGATTTGAAGTATTGGTGTTATGAAAAATATGACATTTAGGTGCGTTATAGTGTCATTGCTTATACTTCAATTAATTTTGTATGATTCTTGTTACAAATTGTATGAAATCAAGGCAATTGAAGGTTGAATGAGTTTTTTGTGTTTTTTTTTTAATAATGAGTTGTGAGTGTAATTTGAGAACTATATTGGTGTTGTATATGACTCAGTGATATTCATAATTATAAACTCTTTACTTTATGTTATGATTTTAAGTGGAATATTGCTGATATTTGTTATAAAACTTGGTAATTGTAAATTTACACAATTAGTATTAAAATTTTGTTAAATATTCATTTATATACAAAGGAGTATTGTAATAGCGAACACTCGGTATAAAGAAATCAAAAACCTTACAAGATTTTAGTGTTCGTAATAAAGAGACTTCATTGTATTGTATGTTTTCAAATATTTATGTGATATTGGTTTGAATGAACAATTGTGCAGGACAATTGTTGTAAAGTGAATTTTATTCAAAATTTTAACAATAAAATATTCCTGTGGTACAAACAAAACCTGCCTAAATTCAAATTTTTCATATAGTTTAATCGGTATCCTGCTTTATTAATTCTCAATTTTTGGGAACTAATTTTTTTTTTAAATTAAATATTAACTTTGAACTCAATTTATTTGGAATATTTTTTTCTTGATTTAGTAATTTTTTTTTCTTGCATTTTGTATATAAAACAAATAAAATTTTTTTTTCCAAAAAATTGATTACATTTGGCGGTGTTTTTGCTTCTTGAATACGCTACAATAAAATATCGAATTTTTTTTTCTACACAGAAACAAAATAACCAGTGTTTTAATAAAATTTTAATCGTTTGTTTGAATTATTTTCTTTATTCATTAATTTTATTACTTTATTTTGAGTTTTTAAGGAAGAAAATTAATATTAAACATCTTCTTATACAAATTATTATTGCTTTTTTTTTTTGAATGAAAATAAAACAAAAATTTAAAAGTATTTAAAAATTACAAAATTATTGAATAATTTTTTTGTTTTATTTTCATTTTTTTTTGTTTGACATACTTAAAAATGCTGCTGACAAAAAAAATACTTTTAATTTTATTTAATAATAAAAAATATTATGATAAAAGATATAGAGTTTCATTTATAATATTAATTGAAAACCTATTAATATTAATGTATTGAAAATAATATGAAATTTATTCATTCGCATATTAATACAGAATGTGTGTAATCAAACAAATTGTATGACCCTAAATAATGTGTAGAGTTTAAAAAATGTTTTTGCTTTTCTGCTTAAAAATTTACATTGACCGCATCTGTTGTTCATTTTTTACAACATGAATGTCAAATTAGAAGCAAAAAAAAATAATAATAATGTAGATAAATCTGTTAAGAAATAGTTTAATTTGTAAATGTATACATAGTTGTATTCCACATTTATATTTTATAATATTAGTTTGAATGAGCATTATTAAATTTAAAAATGAAAACAAAATAAAAATTATTTAATTTGCATTTCTTTTCAATAAAAAAAAAATCTATTAGCAATTATAAATTTAAAGTTAAAAACCTTAAATTATTGAAAAAAACTGCATATATTAAAGTTCGAAAACTGTGGATACTCAAACAAAAAAAAAAAGATAACAATAGAAAAATTGTTTAATCTAATATAAATTTTTTATTTTTTTTTCTGGTAGATGAAGTGATTTAATAGTGATAAACTGTTTAAATCTATTTGATTATTTTCCTATTCATGAGTTTATCCGCGGGCACATGCGCCGTATATACGAGTATTAGGTTTTTGTTTGACATAATATATAGGACTAATATATTTATGTATTATTGTTGTTGATTATATTATAGGTTAAATAATTTGATTTGTATTTTATTCATTATTATTATTATTATTATTAAATTATGATAATATAAAAGAGTTTTACATTGAAAATAATTAAATCAAAACCTTGAAAAAAATTAAGATTACATATTATTGCAATCAAATTTATAATGTAGAGAAAATTTAAAAACAAAAAACAAATTTTAAAAATATAAATTAAATATTATTAAAGTAATAATTTATGAAAAAATTGTAATTTGATGAAAACTTTTAATAAAAATTATACAAATAGAAAAATTATTCAAAAAAATAAAATTTGAGAAATAAAATTTTTTCGCGAAACAAAAAAATACATATTTTTGTGGGATTTTGAATTATTTTGTTTTTTATTTTAAATTTTGTTGTGTTTAAAGTCATTGTTGCTAAATTTCTAAAATTTTTATCAGATGCTAAAAATTAGTTAATTACGTCATGCATATTTGCAGATTTTCTGTATTTCATTTACGAATTTTTACGATATTGATAACACTGATTACAATAATTTATTTTTTGATACAAAAATGTTCCTATTATGTCCCACAGATCGCGACGGTAAATTAATATAAAAATTGAAAGGTTTAAAAAAAAAATTTCAAAATGGTATCTTTGCCATTGTTACCAATTAGATTATTTTCTTATAGTTTTAAAGATCTTATATGTTTATTAAGAACAATCAAAATTATTTTAATAATTTAAATGAATAGCAAGTTAATAAATATAAAAAAATATTTTTTTTGCTCATATACGGCCCACATTAAATTATAAATTTTATTTTTGTTTAAATTTATGTTTTTTTTTGGAAATTAATTTTTATATTATTCATTCACTGAAATTTGGATATTGTGAGTTTTTTTGGTTAAATTTGTTTTTTCTCATTCTTTTGTTACAGTTGAACTTGGTTAAAATGAACATTAAAAGACCGAAATTGTTATTGCACTTTACAGTGAAATTACATCGCAGTATTCTTAGCGGTTTCAAGACATTAAATTTGATTTAATCAACAGTTTCATCATAAAAGAAAATTACAAGCTTTGATGATTCTAAGAATATATTTAGTACACAAAGGTTTTAGGAAACTAATTTCCAAATAACTGAACCATTATAAATTATTGTTTAGTTTTGAATAATAAATTGCTTATAATTGAATAAAATGCTGGGAGAAGTAAGCTTTTGACTAAAAGTTTACTTTGCTGTTGCAAAGATATCTAATTGAAGTTTTGTTTGCCAAATTTGTAGAAAACGTTGAAATTGTGGGTTTGTTAATCTTGGAAGAGAAAATCAAATATATGTTATTATCAAGGTCCCAACTACACAGAAGGGACAAAAGTATAAGAATAATGGGAAACAATTTTTAAATAGTTGAAAATTTTACATACCTTGGTGCCAAGATAAACGCTAGTAATGACATAATAAAAAAAACATAAAACAAAAGATTTTAACAACTAATAAGGCTTACTACTCCACAGAAGAAAACTTGCGTAAAATGAATATTACAAATTGGTAGAAACTAACAACGGATCAAGAAGGGTGGAGGAGAATTGTGAATAAACCTAAGGCTCATATCGGGCTGTTGGGCTACTGGTGGGGATGATGATGACTGTTGCATTTTCTTGAGTAAAATTTGTATTTGCGACCTGTCCGTATTATTATAAAATATATTGTATTGGAAATTGCATACTTTATGGGGCTTGGGAATTTGAAATGCTTCATGGATGGTTTACAAAGAGAATTTTGAATTAAACTAGTAGAAATTAATTAAGCATATATTACACGATTATGTATTACATTTTTTAAAGACTGATCAAAACTAACACTTAATTATATTATGGCTTATTTGCATAAAATGTTAAAAGTTATGCTGATTTCATTATGTTAATTAGCATACCAATAACCAATAAATCACGGTATCTTTTTTGTTCTCCTCATTTTGAAGTATAACATAAGAATGTATTGCATAATCCCATTAAAAAAAATAATAAATTTAAAAAAGAGAAAGAAAAAAACTGCTTTAAATTTATTCGAATCAAGGTCAGTCACCACACCATTTGTCATCCTTTCAAATTATTTTTACTATCACTTCCTTTTATGATAGTAACACAAAGATGTTTTTTTCTGCCTCTCACTTTAAAACTTCTTCAAGCTTTAATTCGGATTTCTCTTTCTTTTTCGGTCATTGATAATTATAGAAAATCGAAAATCCTGTTATATCCTAAATTAAGCAAAAAAAATTTCTGGTTTAGAGGGGAAAAAAATGAAATTTTGGCTAATGTGAAAAAAATTCTATTCATTTTTTTTTTTGTTATTTTCTTCTTTCCCACTATTTTATCTTGATAAATTTTATATTTTATGATTGGTTTAACCAAATTTTAGAATTTGTGGGCATCATAAATTTTTTTTTTACTGTTGTCTTTTTTTTTTAAATTATTATTTATAGAACAAGTTATTGGTAGCATAAAACTGTTTTTTTTTTAATACCAGTTTCAGTCCATTAGTTATAGATTTGTCGTCTATGTGTTTCTGAATAGAAATAGAAAGGAAGAGTGTTTGTTTCTTTGTGTTGTGGATGATTTGTTAGAGACAATCAAAAATTTATGAATTTTTTTTTTTTGCAAGAAAAATTATGAGCATAAATGATGTTTATTTGAGAGGTATAACTGTTATATAATCATTTTTTTTTTTTGGGATTTTATATCAGAACTCAGAATAAATGTAGGCTTAAAGAAACAAAAAGATTTTAATTTAATGACTAAATCCTTTATAAACGTAACATGTGTGAAAATATTTAGAACCCGGAACTTTTATTGTATTATATGGAATAGTAAGAAATGATGACTAAATTTAATAAGATCTCGATTTCAATGATGATTTCAATGGTTTTATTTATATGTATTGAAATAAAAAAAAATATACTTACATTGTGGTCCTTCAACATGTACATATGGTGTACCATGATCACCAAATCCTCCATTATATGGTACACCTCTATCACCGAATCCACCATTATATGGTGTACCTCTATCACCGAATCCACCATTATATGGTGTACCTCTATCACCGAATCCACCATTATATGGTACACCTCTATCACCATAACCGCCAGTATATTGTCCACCTCTATCACCATATCCGCCAGTGTATTGTCCACCTCTATCACCGAATCCACCAGTATATGGTACATTTACGTGAATATAACGTCCTGCATCATCTGGTATATATCTTCCTTGATTACCATATATTTCGGGATGATATCTACCGTCATCACCAGCAGCTGATATACCACTGATCAGTGCAATCAGTGTAATCTTTATGTATAATTTTTTTTCAAAATAAAAAAAAAAAGTTAAATGAAAAATAAAAGGAAAAGAACGAAACCAAAGAAAATTTAGAATAAAAAATTATAAAATACAAGAAAAAAAAAGAAAATATTTTAAAAAATTGTAAAAATAAAATGAAATTATATTTAAAATAATTATACAATAATTAATATATTTTTACAAGTATGCGTGTAAACATGTATGAAGTGTAAACATGTATGAACATGTATACATCACAGTATCCGTTTTTAGTTGTAAGACATGTCAATCGTGTTCTAATTGAAAATTTCGAATTTTATATGTTTTGGTTTTAAAACCCTTACTGTCACCTTAAAAATATGCCCCCTTGTTAGATTTTACTGTTCGCAAACATTTCGTTCTACATCCCATTTAGATTTCTTTTCGAAATTATGCAGTCCGTTTTAATTTAAAATAAAATTGTTAAATATCTTTAAATGCCATTCAATTTTCGCATAATATCTGTCAGTTTCGCATAATTTGTCAATATTCCCATTCATCTTCCCATTTCATGCGAAAATTTAAAATAAAAAATTGAAAAAAGCACGTGTGCAAAAGATAAAATTTAATTTAATTTAAATTTTAGGTGTATTTGAAAAATTCAAGCTTATTATCAAACATTATCATAGTTATGTTGTAATGCTTTTCATACATTATTGATAATACTCGAAAAATGTATGAAATGTATAATCTTGACATTCAAATTACAGTAATATGTTCAAACAAATTCAGCAATTATAACTAATTTAGCTGAATTGTGTAACAAAATTCATATACAGTATTGTTACTGTTATATTTATATATTAAAGTATAATTTGTATATACAACAAATTCTGATGTTGTATTGAATTTTGTATGTCATACATGATTTGTTGCATGCATTTTTAAAATAATATTGAATATACAATATTATTTTATATAATTCATTCAAATAATCATATATGTATATTAAAAAATAAAATTAAAAAACAAAAAAAATTAAATATCCATTATGGCGTCGTTTTGTGTTTATAAGTACGTATGTGTGTACGACGCAGACTTTTTATATTCGTATATACACAAAATTGCGTTATTTTATTCCTTTTTTGCATTTTATTTCAGTTCTTTTTTTTTTGGTTTTTTGTAATTTAATTATGCAATTTTCACTTTTTATAAATATTTTTTTTTTTATTTATTTATTTCCAATTTAATTTCATTTTTATTAAAAATTTTATATATATTTTTTTTTTGTATTTACCCAAAGTGATATCATTGTTTTTTTTTTTTTTTTTCTGTTAATAAATTTAACTTTTATTTCTGTTTTATTGGTTTTTTTTTTTGTGTTTTATTTTCCAAAAATGAATTTTGTTTTTGTATTTATTTTTTTGTTTATAACATAGAAAATTTTATTTTTCACGTAAATAACATTTAATAATAATAACAATATACTAAATGAACTAAAAAATTAAAAAAATTAAAATAAAATTAAATAAAAATAATTAAAAAAAAATAAAATTGTATCAAATCTAATTTTTTAAATAGCCATAAAATATTTACTAAACATTAGAAAAACAAAAATAAATAAACAATTAAAATATAATTAAAATGGAAGACGACGAATGGATTCGATTAAATTACAAAAAAAAAAAAAAAAAAATTCAATTTTTTTTTTTTCAAATTATCGAATTTTTTTTTTTTTTCTTTTTCTTCTTCTTGTAGTTTGTATAACTTTCTACCCGACACGACGGTGGTGAATATCGAATGAAACTGATATCATAGAATCTGGCTAGTATTTATAGTTAAGTAATATACATTTATATATTAGTAGTTAAATAAAAAATAAAATGCTACAATATACAAAATTCGATTATTATATATTTATGTACCTACCACTTATATACTACAATATATACATATACATATACATAAACGCATATTATTAACTAGTTATTATAGTAACTTCTTTAAGATCAGATTTAAACAAGACAATCATAATAATTTTTTATTTTTTTGGTAATTTTTTGCTTCTTCTTCTTCCTCTGCTTGTTTTTTTTTTGCTGAGATTTTCTACATCATCTACTTCTTTTTTTTTTTTCTTGTTATTGTTGTTTTTATTTTATATTTTGATTCAAAAACGCACAACAAAATTTAATTTTTTTTTTGTTTTTAGTTATTTATGTACAAATGTTTATATACAAAAAAAAATGTATACATACATTTTCTGTATCATTAAAAAATATTTAAAAAAAAAATGTACCTCCGCTCAAATAATGATAAAGATGATGATGATGATGATGATGAGTAGCCATACTAGTTATGCAGATATGGGCCAAGTTAAAATCAAACAGAAAACAGAAAAGAAAACAAAATTTGATATGAAAAACAAAAGTAATAAACAACAAGAATAATAAAAACAAAAAAAATAAAAAAAAATTTATTTACTTTTATTTTTTGAGTCTGATTTTGAGAGCAACTATGACACCATGTCATGAACGAATGAGTGATTTTTCCATTTATTTACTCATTGTGTTTGTGATTGTGTTATTATTGTTGTTTTTTTTTTTGTTGTTATTGTTTTAGTGCCCGTTATTATTATTAGGTTAGGTTTAGGTATGTGGGATAATTTACTTTTTTTTTTTTTCTCATTTTCTTTTGTTTCTAAATTTTTTGCTTTTGTTTTCTCTCAGTTTTTTAAAAATTTTCGATTTTTGATTTCAAATTAGATTGCAGATTTTTTTTTTAAATTTTTTTCTTCTCTTTTTTTTGTTTATTGTTCTTATTTTTTTTTTGTATTGTAATTTTGTTAATTATTTATTCTGTTTGTTTTTTTATTGTTTTTATTATTTTACTTTTCCGATTACACATTGATTTTTTTTGCAAAAATCTGCGTGAAGAGTAATTATAACAGTATGTGAGAAAAAAACAAATATGAGATAATAAAAAAAGAGAGAGAGAGGAAGAGATGGCAAAAAAAAAATTATGAAAATCATAAGTTATGAATTTAAAACGAAAAAAAAAACAAATAAAAATAAAAAAAAAATTTTTTTGGGTATAATAAATTTTCTGTCAATTATTTCGGTTTTTTTTCTCTTTGGCTCCTTGTTAAGCTTTTTTCAATTAAAATTGGAATTTGCAACAATCGAAAATGCTATTGCAAATATTTTCGGTTATAATACATTAATATTATTGTATGACAGTTAATTTTAAGGGAATTGAATTATAAATATGATGATTATTTTATAATACGAAAAGAATGTGGAGGCGTTTGCCAAACAAAAAAAAGAAAAAAGAAAAATATTTTTTTTTTTTTAACAAAAACTATTTTGCAAGAAAATTTTGTAGTCGTTTGCATCTATTATTTTCTGTTTCTGTGTTTGTTTTTTAATTTATGATAAGATTTCAAATATTTTTGCAATATCCCGCATGGTGTAAACGTTATGAGATTACTGCAGCTTGAAATAATGAATTAATTTTAACTCAATTCTCTCGTTTGGTATAAGTGACAGTTTAATAATGGTGTTTAATGAGAATATTTTGTGTATTATAAATAAATGTTTATTAATAATTTTTTATTTGATTTTATGTGATTTAGTTGAATATTTTATTATGATATTAAGATTGCAATGCGTTAGTTAAATATTTTCCAGGGGATTTGCAACTCTTTTAGTTTGCATTCTCGTAAAATATCTTATTCGTTACACATTATGTTCTCACAATTAAATTATGTATGTTTAAATTAATAAATTTTTATTGAACAATATAAGAAAAATATTGCTCATAAATTAAAAGTATTTGGAAATATTTGTCAAATTTTTGAAGTATTATTTGACATTTAATTAATGTGAGAGGAAACGCGTTGTTACATCAGTTTTGCAGCTGAGTAACAAAATTTTATGTGTTTCAACCACATATCTGGGCAAATTATTTTTAAATTCATAATAAAGTACTTAAGTTTAGTTCTTACTATAACCGTATTCATATTTTACTCCTTACTGCCTTTCAAGAAGTTTATGTATCAAATAAAATTTATTCGTTTCGTTTGATATTAAAATTTTGCAAATCATTTTTAATATGATTCAAAGATAATTTAATTGTTGGAAACAATAAATACCACCATTAATAACAAATAGTGGTATTGTAAAAATTTGAAACTTATTTCTATTATAATTTAAAATGAACAATAAAAGAAAATCTTTGAATCAGTTTTTCCATTCAAAATATTTCAATTAATAAATTTCATTAAATTAGATTTAATATTCAATTTTGCAAATACGAGAATATTGCAAAAACAAAAATTTCTTTTGTGATATTCAATGGGTAATTCAAGGGAAGTCTTTGAATCCAAATATTCTTTTCAATTAAAAAAAAAAACAAAAATCATGGATTTAAGATTTATAAAACTTTTTTTTTCAAAACAAAATCAATTCTATTTCTTTTATTTCCGATTATTTTTTATGTACCTGTGCAATATTGTTACAAATAAATTTTACGGAACATAAAAAAATATTTAAAATCTATAAGAATATTTTCAGGTTTTTGTTTTTGTAGGTATTGGTTTTGGTAGGTATTTTTGGTGAAGGTCATCAAAAATTTAAAATAAATTTTTCTTAATCATTGAATTTTTCAAATGATTGTGGTGTATTTTGTGTTATTTTACCTGCATGTTTTGATTATGTTTAACACGGTTTTTAAAATTAAAAACAAAAGATAATAAAATTTAAGAATTTTTCAAAAAAATTTTTAATGATTAATACATTTTTAGCAGGCGACGCAATTCATCACCTTTATACTGAAAAAAATATTTTAGTTCCACATAAAAATTCACTGTTTAACAAATTTATGCGGTACTCCAATAAAATCTTAAAATTATATCTTAATTAATTTTGCTCTTCATTACGAATTTCATTTATGTTTTTTGGTTAATTATATTATAAAATTGAGCATCATTGAAATGACAATTAAAATTAATTGATTAAGTAAATGTAGTAAAAAAATAGGGATTGTAATTGCATACATGATTTTGTTACTTTTATTTTAAATGTTAAGGTCAATGTGTCAAATAAAAATTTTTTTTAGATATTTTCAAAAATTTCAAGAAAAAAAAATTAATGAATCTTAACAAAATAGCATTTATAGGTTTTCCTTAAATTTTTTTTTTTGTTTTTTGGGATAGGCCACAAAAATGAAATCAGATGAGATATGTTCCCATAGTAATGAAATAAAAATTTTGACAAGTGCGTTATTTATGTTACATTTCTGTGTAAGAAGGTCATATTTATAAATAGGTGTAAAATTTTATGTTCTAATCTGTTTAATGTTACATTTTGATATTGAATTTAAATAAATTTATTGTTTGAGAACACTATTATGGGAATTTGATTTATTTATTTGAAAATTACATAAGTTAAAAATGTCTTGTCATTGAACAAATTCTTCTAACTACACAAGCTTTAGCACAATTAAGGAACCACGAAGGACAAGTTAGAATTCTTACCAAAAATATTTTAATTTATATGCGAAATTTGTATAATTAGTGTAAAAATGATTTTATGTCAAAAATTTGTACGACATATAGATATATATGTCTTCTGTAAATAAAATTTTGACAACAACATCTTAAAAAACAGCAGTAAATTATAATACAATGAGCATTATCAAATTCTTCCTATAAAAACCACCTTTGTGTGAAACTCATTAAGGGTATTTTATTTATGTAATTTAAAACTATAATGACCTATTTAAAAAAAATTTTAATCTTCTCTTATTAACATTTACATTGTTAACAATTAATTAAATAAAAAATTTGTTTTTTTTTTTCTTATTGATTTAAAAATTATCTTTTATAAACGATCCAATTATAACTGATTTAATTCAATCAAGGTTATAGATGAGATTAAAATATTTTAATGTTTAAAATTGATTATCTTTTATACAATCAGAGCTATTTTATAGGTTAAATAGAATTTTAGTATATAAATTTTTGATTTTACAACCGATGTATTAAAATACTGGTGCAGATTATGTGATGTTTGTTATTAAAGTGATGACGATGATGGTGGAATTGTGAATTATGTTGTGCTTTTAAAATGATTCATGCTACAATTATGTGATAAATAAATTTTGGTTTAAGTCGGTTAAATTAATATTGATCCAAACGCTTGTGATTATTTTGTAAAGTTCTTGAATTGGAATTGAAATGATTTAAAAAATCGGTGTATTAATCTGCTGCATTAAAGTATTTTAGGATGACATGAATGTTTTAAATTAGCAATA